CTAGGGGCTTTATTTGTATCATACATGGGGTAAATGTCATACATGTATTGTTACAGGTATAAATGAATAAAAAAATATAGAGTACAAGACTACAGGGTTCACGGTTAGTTACTTTTTATACGACCGCAAAAATTGAAAATTTTTTGGTCGTATATTGGTATGACGTTGGCGTCGTCGTCGTCGTCGTCGTCGTCGTCGTCGTCGTCGTCGTCGTCGTCGTCGTCGTCGTCCGGCGTCGTCCGAAGACACATTGGTTTTCGCACTCTAACTTTAGTTTAAGTGAATGGATCTCCATGAAATTTTACCATAAGGTTCAATACCAAGAAAGGAAGGTTGGGATTGATTTTGGGGGTTATGGTACCAATAGTTAAGGAATTAGGGGCCAAAAAGGGGCCAAAAATAAGCATTTTGTAACTTCCAGACAATAACTTGTGTGTAAGTGTATGGATCTCTCTGACATTGTACCACAAGGTTCCATATCACAAAGGGAAGGCTGTAATTGATTATGGGGGTAATTGCCTCAAAATTTTAGGAATTAGGGGCCAAAAAAGGGGCAAAAAACAAGCATTTTTCTAGTTTCATGACAATAACTTGAGTGTAAGTGTTTGGATATTTCTGAAATTGTACTACAAGGTTCCATATCACAAAGGGAAAGCTGGAATTGAGTTTGGGGGTAATTGCCCTAAACGTTTAGGAATTGGGGGCCAAAAAGGGGCCAAAAATAAGCATTTTTCTAGTTTCCAGACAATAACTTGTGTTCAAGTGTATGGATCTCTCTGAAATTGTACTGCAAGGTACCATACCACAAAGGGAAGGCTGGGATTGAGTTTGGGGGTGATGAATCATAAGGGGGTTCAAAAAATTTGGGGGGGGATTTTTTTCTTCTTTTTTTTTCTTTTAAAATTTTCCATTTTAAGTTGGTTATTTCTGATTTATATTTAAAAGCAAATAATAATGATATGGTAGGAGATACACACCAAACAGGATGTGTAAATTATTATATAATAAGTATTGTGCAATAGCAAGAAATTTTCAATTCCACAGTATTGCACAATAGCAAGAAATCTTCAATTGCACAGTATTGCGCAATAGCAAGAAATCTTCAATTGCACAGTATTGCGCAATAGCAAGAAATATCCAATAGCACAATATTGCGCAATAGCAAGAAATTGTCAATTGTACAGTATTGCGCAATAGCAAGAAATATTCAATTGCACAGTATTGTGCAAAAGAAGATACTTCGTATAAATTGCTTATTTCTTGATCAATTTCAATGGGGTTTTATTCTTGAATTCTTGGGGTTCTTTAATATGCTGAATCTTACCATGTATTAAGTTTTTGGATTTTGGGCCCCGTTTTTAAATTGGTCCACATTGAGGTCCAAAGGGTCCAAAATTTAACTTTGTTTGATTTCATCAAAAATTGAATTATTGGGGTTCTTTGATATGCCGAATCTAATCGTGTATTTAGATTCTTAATTTTTGGTTCCGTTTTCAAATTGGTCTACATTAAGGTCCAAAGGGTCCAAAATTAAACTTAGTTTGATTTTAACAAAAATTGAATTTTTAGGGTTCTTTGATATGCTGAATCTAAACATGTTTTTAGATTTTTGATTATGGGCCCAGTTTTCAAGTTGGTCCAAATCGGGGTCCAAAATTAAACTTTGTTTGATTTCAACAAAAATTGAATATATGGGGTTCTTTGATATGCTGAATCTAACCATGTATTTAGATTTTTGATTTTTGGGCCCCGTTATCAACTTTGTCCACATTGAGGTCAAAAAGGTCTAAAATAAAACTTTGTTTGATTTCATCAAAAAATGAATTCTTGGGGTTCTTTGATATGCTGAATCTAACCATGTATTTAGATTTTGGATATTGGACCATAATAGGTGAATGTCCAATTTAAAATTTTTAAGTTCTTAGACCACATTCATTCTGTGTCAGAAACCTATGCTGTGTCAAATATTTAATCACAATCCAAATTCAGAGCTGTATCAAGCTTGAATGTTGTGTCCATACTTGCCCCAACTGTTCAGGGTTCGACCTCTGCGGTCGTATCAAGCTGCGCCCTGCGGAGCATTTTATTAAATTGTGTCTCTAAGAGGCTATTTCAGTTCTACAGGGTGTTGCGTTTGTACATAGATAACCTTATCAGTTGAAACATTAAACTAGTGCATGGGGAAAATATTATCAGTGCAATGGAAAAGGAGAGGTGTCGCTGAAGATGACAAAACAAATCTTAAGATACAACTGAGGAGGGTTATAGATTGATTTTTTAAAGGGACATTATCTATTATCTAGACATTAGTAGAGATAAAAACCTTTGTTTGGCTGTTGTATTTAATGTACAGATCAATTCAGTATACTTGTTCGTGTTGATAAAATATTATTTTTTTTAAGAAAAACATTATTTTCTTAATATTCAGATATTCAATCTAATGTCCTGTCAACTTGTTATAAGTAAAATTTCATTGATAATTTTTAAACACCTGAATCATGAAAAGTAACTTTTTAACACACAAGTAATAAGCTAAGAAAGACAACTCCAACTTCAGTTTATCAAGTGATTGCATTACAAGTGTAAAACGGCCGCTGCAGAATTTGACAGGATCATTTTCAGTCGTGTTTATTTAGACTTATAAGTTAAAACTTCGACCGTGGAATAATTATTTCCATACAACTTTGATTAAGGAACATTCGAAATTGTTAACTTCTGTTTTTGTCTCGCCTTGACGGATTCAAAAAGCGAGACATGGGTATGCTGTTTCCGGCGTTGGCGTCAACAATGTATTAGTTTGTGATTACTGGTCTAGTTCATGGTGAACCACTAGTGGTAGGTCAATGATATTTGGTATGCAGTTGTATTAGCATTGGCACATCTCATAACCATGGAGATTATTTGGCCCTGCCCCCTCAGTAAAGGTCTATTGACTTTGAAACTTTTCATAGTTTACATGTATTTGTTTGTGATTAGGTCAATTTATGGGGAACCGCTAGTGGTAGGTCAATGATATTTGGTATGCAGTTGTATAAGCATTGGCATATCTCATTTCCATGGAGATTTTTTGGCTCCGCCCCCATAGTCATGGTCTATAGACTTTGAAAATTTTGCTTAGTTAACATATTAGTTTGTGATTAGGTCAGTTCAAGGGGAACCATTAGTGGTAGGCCAATGTTAATTGGTGTTCAGTTGTATAAGCATTAGCACATCTCATTTCCATGGAGAATATTTGGCTCCGCACCCTCAGTCATGGTCTATTTACTTTGAAACTTTTGCTTAGTTTACATGTATTAGTTTGTGATTAGATCAGTTTAAGATGAACTGCTAATGTTAAGTCAATGATATTTAGTATGCAAATTTATTGGCATTTGCAAGTATCGTTTCCATGGAGATTATATAGCCCCACCCCTGATCATGGTTCATTGACTTTGAAACTTTTACAGTTTACAAGTTAATGTTTGTGTTTAGGTTTGTTTAAAGGGAACAACTTATGATAAGTCAATAGTATTTGGTAAGCAGTTGTATTAGCATTGGCACATCTCATTCCATGGAGATTGTTTAGCCATGTACCTTCAGTCATGGTTCATTGAATTTGAATATTTGCATAACTTACATGTTAAAGTATTGCTATTTTAATTTCAACATTTGCATTATATGGATTGTTTCAAAATATTGATAAAAGTTGCTTAACCACTAATATCAATATATTATGGCCCAGCTTAACTTTGTATATATCTTTTGATGAGAAACACTGAATTTTATAAACATGATAAACAAGTTTTTAATTGAATTGTAATTCATATTTTATAACTTCTTTACCTTTTTGACATAAAAAAAATTCTTTTTAGTGCTAGATATTTAGTTGGTAGTTTCTCACAAGAACCTAAACTTAAACAACATTGAATTTGAACTGTTAATTTAATTGTATACTCAGATATGAACTGAACAATATAAAAAGAACATTATTAATATATGACCCTGTATACTATAGTAAAATCAAAACATTGTAGCGCAGCGCGCGAAGGAGCACTTCTCTTTCAAATCTCACCACTTCTCCCTATCAGTTTCAAAAAGAGAAGTCACTTCTCCCTATGATTCTGAAGTAGTGTGAGCCCTGAAACACCAAAAAATGGAATTGTCATGCACATGGCAAATTAAGTCAGCAGTTTATGAAGGGACTTTTTAATAAAAGATCTTCTTTCCCAAAATATAATGTCACATGGAACGTTGATAAAGTTTTAAAGTTCTTAAAGACTTTAAAGCCAGGGAAAAATATTTCATTAAAAGAAATTAACTTTCAAATTGGTAATGTTGTTGGCTTTGTCAACAGGACAAAGGATACAAAGTTTATTTCTTATTGACATTCGAAACCTAGAAATAGGAGAAACATTTGTCAAAATTAGATATGGAGATTTGCTCAAACAAACAAGACCAGGATATCAGTTATCAAAATTGTTTATTGAGGCATATAAACCAGATTATAGAATTTGTGTTGTTTATACCTTAAATGAATATTTAGAAAGAACAGCAGCACTTAGAAATGATGTTACACAATTATTTGTAAGTCATCAAAAACCACATAAAGCCGTGAAAAAGTGTACTATAGCTAACTGGATTAAAAAAATACTTGCTTTAGCTATTTTCACGCCTCATAGCACAAGAGGAGCTTGTACTTCCTATGTGAGTGGCAAAATACCTATAGATGTTATTCTGAGAACGGCAGGATGGAGAAAAGATAGTGTTTTTAGAAAACATTACAAAAGACCCACTACTAATGATAGTACATTTAGTAATGAAGTCTTAAATTCATCTGGAAAATAAAACATCATATGTGTATATAAAGATATATATTTTCATTAAGATTGGACCTTATCAAATTAACATCAAACTACAACTAAGGTATGTTTTGTTTAATTTGTTAATTTTATGAAGAGCTGAGCAGAGACAGTGGGAACACTGATAAGTGGAATTATTACTCATCTTTTTGTTTATTTCAGGCTGCTTTTGTATTGGCTTTAGATGAGGAACCTCAAGATTTTGATGAAGTAAGTAATTTTAATTGTTGTACAATACATGTTTTGATCTTATAAAAAAAATTTTGTCTCACCTGTGACCAAAAGCCATGAAGACTAGACATACCAATACTACATTCTGTTGTTGTCTGTGTTTTTTAACAATCAAGCTCAGTTTCTTTGTGAGAAGTTTTTTTTAGCCATCCATAGCTAATCTACCTTCATGAAATTGTGAAACTTAAGCTTTTTTGTGATCAAGAGATAGCATCTGGAGCAAAATTTGGAAAATAGTGAATGTTTTCTCCCTGTATTTTAGTAATAAATGAAGCAGTGGACAGGGGGGAAGGAACCCTGGAGTCAGGGGGATGGGAAGCAGGAGTAAGGGGGTCGGAAACCGGGAGTAAATGAAGCGGTATTTTTTTTCAATGAGAATAAAACTAAACGATATAAATAGACCTAAATGCTTCTAAGACCTTCTAAGGTAGTCAAAACCAACCATTCTAAATCTTAAATTGGTCTGAATTGGCTAAAATGATCTAAAATCGTCCGGTACTGCATTTCGACGGAATCCGTTTCTGTTTTCAATTTTTAGATAGATACAGAGCACCTGAGATCACCCGCATGGGCATATTATTAGATTGATGTTCTAAGCACGGCATATCTTTTATTAGCTTGAATTTTGTGTGTTTGAAAAAAAGATTCAACGTATGATTATTGTTGACAGTGAAGAAGGATGGTGCCACGCCTAACAACAGCTCGTCAAAGTGGAAGCTGATTTGCATGCTATTATTTACAAAGCAAACCATATCACCTAAACAATCTGCAAGAAAAACTTTTTTGCTCTAACATGAGCAACTTGACGGGTGCCACATGTGGAGCAGGATCTGCTTACCCATCCGGAGCACCTAAGATTACCATCAATTTTTGGTAGGGTTCCTGTCACTCAGTTTTTAGTTTTCTATGTTGTGTTTTATGTACTATTGTTTGTCTGTTTGTCTTTTTCTTATTTGCCATGGCGTTGTCAGTTTATTTTTGACTTAGGAGTTTGAATGTCCGTTTGGTATCTTTCGCCTCTCTTTTATCTGAACTTAGCTACTAGCCCCAACATCTACTTTTGATCACTTTTATCAATATCATGTTTTTATCCAAATGACAGATTTTTGTGTGCCTATCCAAAGTCGAAACCAAAGCCAGGTGTTACAAATAAACACTAAGAACTAGATGGTTTTCCAAGATCAAAGTGGTAAAATCCCCAAAAAATTCGTAAGGGGTTCCATGGAACGCTGTGTCTCGCCCGCGATTACTGCTGTCAGTGTAAAAGTGTAATGTTGACTTAAAAAGTGATTCCATTTATCAGTAAAATGCAGAATTTAAAAAAAAAATCAAACTTTTTTTTAGATGCTATTTCAGCTTGGTTTTGAAGATTAGCTTCTGTCCAAGTTTCATAACAATTCAAAATTTTCATGTTAAAAAAAATTTAATCCCAGACTGTCTGTAAATGTTATCTGTAACGAAGTCCATCTATCAGAAAAATACTAAAAATGAAAAAAAATATATTTTCAAAGGTTTGCTTCAGACATTATCTCTTATCATCAAAAAGCTTCTGCCAAAGTTTCATAAAACTCTATGAAGTTAGGTTTGACAAAGTAATTGATGTGTAACAAACTTTAACCCCAGACTGTGTCTACTTGTTAACTGTAAAAAACGAAGTCCATTTATCAGTAAAATACAGAAAAATTAAAATAAATATTTTCAAAATTTTGATCTGGATACTGTATTTTGGTCATAAACAAGCTTCTGTCCAAATTTAATTATTTCCATGAAGGTTTCACAAAGTTATTGATGACTGAAAAAAACTTTTAACCTCAGACTAAATCTGAATGTTAACTGTAAAAAAAAACTAAGTCCATCTATCAGGAAAATACAGATAAATGAAAATAAATATTATCAAAATTTTGCTCTGGATACTGTCTTTTGGTCATAAACAAGAATCTGTCCAAATTTCATAAAATTCCATGTAGGTTTGACAAAGTTATCGATGTTTAAAAAACTTAAACCACAGACTGAACCTAAATGTTGACGCAGCCGACACTGGAATCTATGAAAGCTATATCTTGCTTTTGCAAAATAAATTTCGCAGGTTAGACAAAAACGATAGGTATATCCAACAGTTACACTATAGGAAAAGAACGACTATGGGGAAAAGCAAAAATATGCACAAACCCATCACCACTGGTAATTACAGAAACATAATTCAGAGGTCACCACAAGGTCTTCAACATGTGGAACTCACACCCAGCAGGGAACTCTGAAAGGCCCCAAGAAAAATGGTAATCAATCCATGGTTACAGAACGATGGTTATTCGTCATATAGTGAACTAAAACTTTTAATGACACATGATAAATGACTGACAGTTCTTGACTTTGGACAGGCGCATAAAAAACATCACACCTACAAAACAAGTAAGTGACAACTATCATATTGTGGAATGGGTACAAGCAGGTGGAGGTGGTAGGTTAATCCTAGTCAGTTTGATCATTCCCAACCTATCAACAGGTACTTTTGGTCTATGCTCCCTGTAGATTCCTCTTCATTTGCTCGCTTATTTTTGGCTTTCTGAGCACGTTCTTTTTTTGTTATTTTGTGTTGTTTGTGGTACTTGTATCTGTTGGCCTTGATTTTTATTTGTTTTACAAGTCATTTTACTTTTTCTGACATGAAGACTACATTTTTATACGACCACAAAAAATTTTTGCAGTCGTATATTGGTAAAACGTTGGCGGTGTCGGCGTCTGAAGACACATTGGTTTTCACACAATAACTTTAGTTTAAGTGAATGGATCTATATGAAATTTTACCATAAGGTTTAATACCACAAAAGGAAGGTTGGGATTGATTTTGGGGGTTATGGTACCAACAGTTCAGGAATTAGGGGCCAAAAAGGGGCCAAAAATAAGCATTTTTCTAGTTTCCAGACAATAACTTGTGAAACAGTGTATGGATCTCTCTGAAATTATACCACAAGTTTCCATACCACAAAGGGATGGTTAGGATTTGCTTTCGGGGGTTATGGCTCAAACTGTTTAGGAATTAGGGGCAAAAAAAAACATGGGTGTCCTGATTAATGAACACATACTTTAGTACAAAACATAATTTAAAGCAGTGTAAGGGAGGAAATTCAAATACATGATTTGAATTACCTCCCTTACACTGCTTTTTAAATCATGTATAAAGTATTGGTTTATGAACAATTAAGACAATTTAAAAGCAGTGTAAGGGATGTAATCCAGATGCAACGTTTTGATTACCTCCCTTACACTGCTTTTAAATTATATTTAAAGAAATGCATATTTATAAAGGAAGACCAGTAAAAATATCTGCAAATGTTGCATCTTTTTTTTTTTTTACAAAAAAATCCATATGAAAGATTTGACACCATATTTTAAATTCTATTCTAAATAAATTGATTTAGTTAGCACTATGGTAAATTTAAATGGGTAATTATGATTGCAAACGCCATTGGAAATTTGAATTGAGATTATGACCATATCTAGAGGGAAAGAATTTTTTTTGGACGAAAAAGGGGGGTGTAAAAAGAAATTGTGGGGGGTCAATTTTTTCTCATTTCAGATTTCAGAAATGAAAAAGAAAAATTCTTCAAATATTATTTTTTTTGCAAAAAAAAAGTGTGGGGGGGGGGGGGGGTTAATACGCAACAATAGTGTATTGCACATAAGCAAAAAAAAAGGGGGAGGTAAATTTTTTATTTTTTTTTGTGGGGGGAGGGGGGGTCAATTCGCAACAGTGTATTGCACAAAAGCAAAAAATTGAATATAAATTCAAATTATATAACCAATTCTAAGTTCTTTGACTACAGTTATTCTGTGTCAGAAACCTTTTATGTGTCAAATATTTAATTACAATCCAAATTCAGACCTGTATCAAGTGCTAATATTGCGTCCATTTTTGCCCCAACTGTTCAGGGTTGGACCTCTGCGGTTGTATCCAGCTGCGCTCGGCGAAGCAATTTATTACCAAATTAGGGAGGGAAGTGGGAATTGCTAACCCCTGTCCACCCCCTCATATATGGACTTGGACTGTTTATGAATTCTTTACACTAAATCTGTTGGTTGTGTACTGATGGATGCTTTAGTTTGGGAGAAGAAGAGAAAGAGAGGCGTAGGATACCAAAGGGACATTCAAACTCATAAGTCGAAAATAAACTGACAACGCCATGGTTAAAAAAGAAAAAGACAAACAGACAACAGTACACAAAACACAACATAGAAAACCAAAGACTGAGCAACACGAACCCCTCCAAAAACTGGGGGCGATCTCAGGTACTTCGGAAGGGTAAGCAGATCCTCAACATGTGACACTTTATTTATTTATAAGTTGTAATTAGCTTTGAATTATCTTTCAGAAACTGTGTGTACTCTCAGATCAGTACTATGTGTCTTTCTTTTGTCTTTATCGGTAATATTTATTAGTTGTGTTTTTTGCTTTCCTGCCAATCTAATGAATAAAGACATTTCCAACTGCTGCTGCCTGGCATCAAAGGGCCATATTTGCTTTTGCCACCCCTTTACATCTGTTTTTTGTCTGGCCATATTGTCTGTTGTCCATCATCCATAAACTTTTGTTTTAAAATCTACTCCTCTAGATCTGAAACTGTATAATGGATTGAAACCACAGTTTGTCTGCTTCATCTATAGAATGTCAGCTATAAAGTTTGTGATTTTTGTCCAGGTTCATCAATCATCAGTACAGCTGAGGCTAAAAATAGAAGATAAGGATTAAACTACAGTTTTGGCTAATATCTCTAAAGACTAAAGCAATTAGGGAAAAACTGACGGGTAAAAATGATCAAAACAATTTCCCTGAAATTTTAGAAAAGCTGTCCACCTATTTTGTAGCTATTGCCCCTGAATATTTGATTTTTATACACCTGTCTTTAAAGACGGGACATATTATGGTATATACTGTTATTCGTACGTCTGTCAGTCTGTCCAGCCGTCTGTCTGTCCGTCTGTCTTCAACACTTCAGACAATAACTCAAAAACGCTTACACCAATTTTCATGAAACTTTGGTGAACTGTTTATATCTATTGACGTAGCTTCCATTTAGATTTTTATAAATTTTAGGTTTATATTTCCAAGTTATGGGATTTTATTCATAAAAAAAAATGAGGGATTTTCCAGTTTTCTGACTATTACACAAAAATGCTTTGAGCATGTAAATATATATTTACAAAAGTTTCCTTTAGATTTAAAAAAATTCTGATTATACCTTTTGGAGTACATACTGGGATTTTATTCAAAAAAATAGGGGGATTTTCCAGTTTTCGGACAATAACTCAAAAACACTTTCAGCAGTTTTCATGAAACTTTGGTGATTGTTTAATCTATTGAAATAAGCTCTCTTTTGTTTTTTTATAAATTTCTGATATGACATTGCAGAGTTATGGGAATTGTTTTGTTTTTGAACCCTTTTTTGTGATGACAAAAAAGATTAAGGATATATCAGAGAAGGGTACTAGTCTATTTTTTGGAAAGGAGTTAATATCTGACAATTTTTGTAGCGATAAAAACAAATTTTGGGTGACTTTTTACATTTTCTGTTCAGTATACTAGACTTGTTGAAAGGCAGTTAGTTAGTATGCTAAAAAGCGTGTTCACCAATTGCTTTGGACTAGGCCTCACAAAAGTTCCAAGGCGTACACAAGAGAAAGTATATCATGCACTCCTATTAAGGTCAATCTTGTGTCTTCTGCTATTTTTGTCTCGCCTTGATGGAGTCAAAAAGCGAGACATAGGTATGCTGTTTGTGGCGGCGGCGTCAACAATGTTATAGTTTGTGATTAGGTCTAGTTTATGGTGAACCACAAGTGGTAGGTCAATGATATTTGGTATGCAGTTGTATTAGCATTGGCATATCTCATTTCCATGGAGAATATTTGGCCTGCCCCCTCAGTCATGGTCTATTGACTTTGAAACTTTTGCTTAGTTTACATGTATTAGTTTGTGATTAGATCAGTTTAAGATGAACTGCTAATGTTAAGTCAATGATATTTGGTATGCAAATTTATTGGCATTTGCAAGTATCGTTTCCATGTAGATTACATAGCCCCACCCCCTCATCATGGTTCATTGACTTTGAAACGTTTACAATGTTTGTGTTTAGGTTTGTTTAAAGGGAATGACATATAATAAGTCAATGATATTTGGTATGCAGTTTTATTAGCATTGGCAAATCTCATTTCCATGGAGATTGTTTAGACATGTACCTTCAGTAATGGTTCATCGACTTTGAATATTTTGCATAACTTACATGTTAAAGTATTGCTATTTTAATTTCAACATTTGCATTATCAAAATTTCAAAAAGGCGAGACATATCTCTGTGATAACAGTTTATTGATTAACATGACCTATAATTTATGCTAGAATGATTAATTTTTCATATAATAGATTAACTATAATAATTGCATCTTAATATTTTCTAAGAACGATCCTTCTAAGCTGGACAGATTTGCTAGATCAATGTTACATGGAAAAGGACATGACAGATGGTTTGATAAGTCATTTACATTAGTTGTGGCATCAAATGGAAGGGTAAGTTAAGTAAATATGAAAAAATTAAATCATATCGTATTCGATTGAAAATTATGTTCATTCAACTGGGATTAGTTTATTAAGCCTGTGTATACAGGTTGAAGAACATGAATATGATATTTCAGCATGTTATAGGTTTCTTGTTTTATGTGTTTTGTATTTTGTATAAAAAATCTAAATTTTGAATACAGACAAAAAAACGTTTTAAAAACTTCTAAATTTTACTCTGGAATCTGGATGTCTTTTGATCATAAAAAAGGCTTCTATCCAAGTTTCATTAGATTCCATGAAGGTTTGACAAATTTTAGACCATATACTTTCTTAATGTAAACTGCAAAAAAAAGCTGAGTCCATTTATTAGTAAAATATGGACAAATGAAAATTGTAAAAAAATCAATTCCTTCAAATTTAATAATATATTGATTCTAAAGTTGATCCCATAACAACAATATTTGTAGTTTTCTTTTTTATACATAATAAAATTTTACACATTTTTAAATGAAACTTTTCTTACATGCAAAATTTTTACATACAATAAAGAGAAAATATACTTTATCTACTAAAGTTATAGAAAAGATAAGATCAAATGATAATGATTAATTTATTAAAGTGTGAAATATTGATCTTACCAGTAAATATACATGTTCAATACACAAAACATTTAAAACAAAGATCAATAGCCAGCCTATATAGACTTAACAATAAAAAACTTTAAAAAATATATAATTTATAAATTTTTTACAAGAACAATTTGATAATGGCATAAAATATTCCCCATCTGACAAAAGTAAAAATCTTTATCTAAAAATGCAGAAATTTAAAAGAAAACTAATGCAATTCACGATTGTCGAGTTTTTATGCTCCACCTAGGGGCATTATGTTTTTCGATCTCTGCGTCCATTCGTCTGTCCGTCAGGTTAAAGGTTTTGGTCAAGGTAGTTTTTGATGAAGTTGGAAGTCCAATCAACTTGAAATTTAGTACACATGTTCCCTATGATATGATCTTTCTAATTTTAGTGCCAAATTAGTTTTGACCCCAATTTCACACTCCACTGAACATAGAAAATGATAGTGTGAGTGGGCATCCGTGTACTATGGACACATTCTTGTTGTCAGTGTTATTATTACAAGAAAATTATTTTCATTATCAAGAAATGAAAACAATATTTAATGCAAGAACACTCAAGGAAATCAGAGAAATGTTGAAAATTTGAAAATGATGATATTTGCCAAATAATTTTAATAAACTAAATAAATCAAACATTATGTATAAAAAAAAAATATATTATTTAAATTAAATGCAGAAATACTGTGACACGAAAGTCTTAAAATCATATGTCACCACTGTTATCCAGCTCTTTTAATTTAATGACAGAATGGGCGGGCAGAGTCATATGATTGTAGTCGCTATATATAATTGAATTACAAATCTCACTTTAAAATAATATAGTTATTGAATATAAAGTTGGTATATGGTAGTTATTCTGCAGAGCTTAGGTGACCCAACTTGACCCGAACAATGCCAGCTCCTGGGAGAGTTCTTTTGCATACAGGAAAGGGAAAACATGCCTTTAAAAGAAGCTTAAGGACGATAACTATTCAGTGTATTCAATAACTACCATTTACTAATCAATTAGTAATGATCAAAAGACAATTGTTTTTTGGATAAGGTTGATTGGACATGATGATTGGCAATTTGCACAAAGTCGTCAGCAAGGATCCGGAAATTTGTTCACACAATTTTGGTCATTTTGAGATGACTTAAAAGTTGGTGCCCTCTTTTTCAAATTGTCGAAATCATACTACTACTAGTACTAGTCACTAGATTCATAGCAACAACGAACTTGTATTGACTGTTTCATCGCATTTATTTCATGAATTTTCTTACCATTTCCTAAAAACGCTCAAGAATAGTTTAGGGAAGGCAACAGTTTAAAATTGAAATGATTTTAATGACTGAAAATGGTAAATTTCTCACACATCGCTAACGTTTCTTTCGATTTTGAAGACGAAACTAAAACCGAAAGTTTTGCGACAATACTAAAGTACGAGTAATTCTGGATTCAATTCCAGGATACCTTTTGATTATCAAACTGACAGGAAATCACCTGCTTTTTAATTTTATTATACTACCGCAAAAAAATTTTTGAGGTCTTATATTGGTATGACGTTGGCGTCGACGTTGGCGTCGACGTCGTCGTCATCGTTGTCATCGTCCGAAGACACATTAGTTTTCGCACTCTAACTTTAGTTTAAGTTAATGGATCTCAATGAAATTTTACCATAAGGTTCAATACCACAAAAGGAAGGTGGGGATTGATTTTGGGGGTTATGGTACCAACAGTTAAGGAATTGGGGGCCAAAAAGGGGCCAAAAATAAGCATTTTTGTAACTTCTAGACATAACTTGTGTGTAAGTGTATGGATCTCTCTGACATTTTACCACAAGGTTCCATATCACAAAGGGAATGCTGGGATTGATTTTGGGGGTAATTGCCTCCAAATTTTAGGAATTAGGGGCCAAAAAGGGGCAAAAAACAAGCACTTTTCTAGTTTCATGACAATAACTTGTGTGTAAGTCTATAGATCTCTCTGACATTGTATCACAAGGTTCCATATCACAAAGGGAATGCTGGGATTGATTTTGGGGGTAATTGCCTCCAAATTTTAGGAATTAGGAGCCAAAAAGGGGCAAAAAACAAGCATTTTTCTAGTTTCCAGACAATAACTTGTGTGTAAGTGTATGGATCTTTATGAAATTGTACTACAAGGTTCCTTATCACAAAGGGAAAGCTGGGTTTGAGTTTGGGGGTAATTGCCCAAAAAGTTAAAGAATAAGGGTCCAAAAAGGGGCCAAAAAACACATTTTTCTAGTTTCCAGACAATAACTTGTTTTCAAGTGCATGGATCTCTCTGAATTTGTACTGCAAGGTACCATACCACAAAGGGAAGGCTGGGTTTGATTTTGGGGGTAATTCCCCCAAAATTTTAGTAATTAGGGGCCATAAAAGGGCAAAAAACAAGCATTTTTCTAGTTTCAGGACAATAACTTGTGTGTAAGTGTATGGATCTTTATGAAATTGTACTGCAAGGTTCAATATCACAAAGGGAAAGCTGGGTTTGAGTTTGGGGGTAATTGCCCTAAACGTTTAGGAATTTGGGGCCAAAAAGGGGCCAAAAAACAAGCATTTTTCTAGTTTCCAGACAATAACTGGTGTTCAAGTGTATGGATCTCTCTGAAATTGTACTGCAAGGTACCATACCACAAAGGGAAGGCTGGGATTGAGTTTGGGGTGATGAATCATAAGGGGGTTCAAAAAATTTGGAGGGGGATTTTTTTTTCCTTTTTTTTTCTTTAAAATTTTCCATTTTAAATTCGTTATTTCTGATTTATATATAAAAGCAAATAATAATGATATGGTTTGATTAGGTAAATTAAAAATTTTTAAGTTCTTAGACCACTTTCATTCTGTGTCAAAAACCTATGCTGTGTCAAATATTTAATTACAATCCAAATTCAGTGCTGTATCAAGCTTGAATGTTGTGTCCATACTTGCCCCAACTATTCAGGGTTCGACCTCTGCGGTCGTATCAAGCTGCGCCCCAGCGGAGCATTTTATTACCTTTAAAAGTGTTTGAATATAACAGATAATAGTTGCACTCATTTAATTTATAGTGCCTAACAAGATTTTGTGAGGTAGACGAAATTGACCTTAAAACGATCGTATTGTATGTTGATGTCCAAAAATAGGCAGATTGGACATATTTTTACTTTTTTTACTGACTTCTCTTGTTTGGGATTAATTGTAATTATAATATTATAATGAGACTGAGAAATGATTTTTTTTGGTTAAACAATAATTTTACCTGGCATAGCCGTGCGTAAAATGTATTTCAGCAATTCTCTTCGAAAAATGACTTGTTTAATGGAATAAAACATCTGATTTGTAAACTTTCTTTTTTTTCTCCGGTATAGCTATTCAAATGTAATTTATTGTCGAGCCTGCGACTTTTGTCGCAGAAAGCTCGACATATGGATAGTGATCCGGCGGCGGCGTTAGCTAACTTTTTAAAAGCTTTATATTTTAGAAGGTGGATGACCTGGATGCTTCATACTTTGTATATAGATGCCTCATGTTACGAAGTTTCCGTCAGTCACATGTTCAATATCCTTGACCTCATTTTCATGGTTCAGTGACTACTTGAAAAAAAAGTTAAGATTTTTTGTAATGTTACATTCTCTCTTATTATAAGTAATAGGATAACTATATTTGGTATGTGCGTACCTTACAAGGTCTTCATGCCCGTCAGACAGTTTTCACTTGACCTCTACCTTATTTCATGGATTAACAAGGTTAAGTTTTGGTGGTCAAGTCCATATCTCAGATACTATAAGCAATAGGTCTAGTATATTCGGTGTATGGAAGGACTGTAAGGTGTACATGTCCAACTGGCAGGTGTCATCTGACCTTGACCTCATTTTCATGGTTCAGTGGTTATAGTTAAGTTTTTGTGTTTTGGTCTATTTTTCTTATACTGTATGCAATATGTCTACTATATTTGGTGTATGGAATGATTGTAAGGTGTACATGTCTAGCTGGCAGGTTTCATCTGACCTTGACCTCATTTTCATGGTTCAGTGGTCAAAGTTAAGTTTTTGAGTTTTGGTCTTTTTTTCTAATACTATATGCAATAAGTTAACTATATTTGGTATATGGAAATATTTTATGATCTATATGTCGGTCGCACAGGTTTTATTTGACCTTGACCTCATTTTTACAGTTCATTGCTCAGTGTTAAGTTTTTGTGTTATGGTCTGTTTTTCTTAAACTATAAGCAATAGGTCAACTATATTTGTTGTATGGAATAATTGTTAGCTGTACATGTCTGCCTGGCATGGTTCATCTGACCTTGACCTCATTTTCATGGTTCATTGGTTAATGTTTAGTTTTTTGGTTAATGTTAAGTTTATGTGACAGTTGTAATAAAGCTTTATATTTA